TTGACGATTGCAAAATCAGTAACATCTATTAACTCCCCCTTCCCCACGCCCGACAAGCAAAACAGCTGAATGTCTCTGGGGTTTATCCAGTTCCCCAAGGATTAAACAGTTCTTAAAGTCTTCTCTGCTGTGGCTCGCTCGCTGGTACTCTTGCCAGGGGGATACTAATGCTTTTATACAAGTTCTATTACAAGGACAGAGCAAGCTAATCAGAGTCTCATGAGTCCTTTGTTTTTCCATGAAGGCATTTTGGCAACAGCAGCAATTGCCCGTATGTATGTGTGTTTTCATGAAGGGCACCCATAGAAAAAGAACAAAAATGAGAAGATGACTTTTTTATTCTGTTTTTACTATTTTACTCTTTATTTTTATTGTAGTGAAAATATCCATAACAAAACATATGCCCCCAAAATGATTCTTTAAATTTATGGAGTAAGTTAATTGATTCTAGTCAGCTGTAATGGTTTTCTGGTATTTTGAATGGACTCTGGAGGCAAAGTCAGTTGAGAAAATTATTGGGTGTTCCAAGGACCAGTTGGTTGTATTTTGTTTTGTTTTTTTTATGGAGGGCTAACTGGTACCTGAAAGAAGGCTCCAATTCTGGCCACTTCATTTAGAGCACTGTTCACTTGTGGCGAAAGCTGGAGAAATGGGGGTCAGTCCACGCACCCCTCAAGGGGCAGGCTTTCAGTGATGGGGAGCTGGGAGAGTGGTCTCCAAGTAGAAAGACCTCCGACTGGACTGCGTACACTCTCCTACCCCTTACAGGCAGTTGTGTACCGTTTAAAAATACTTGTATGCAGATCCAGTCAAATATGGAATGTATCTCCAAAGAACAATGTTCTTTTTGAATGTGTAGTTTTGCAATTCAGTTGTAAAATGGATTTTGTGATATTTTTATAGTGTCAAAACTCAGCTCCTGAAAGTTAGGGCTTACACTGTACTTTTTGTTAAACCATTTCAGATTCTTTGTTGTTTTGAAAATAAACGGGATATTTATTTTACACGGAAGAAAACAAAAATCATTTCCTTTCTAAGCTTCCTACCTTTTTTAATGCTAGTTGATAATGGAAATTGTACTGGCTTTTGGAAGTGCTGACTCCTTTGTTGCTGCTGTTGTTGTTGTTGTTAAGTGCTGATTCCAACCCATAGGGACCCTGTATAGGGTTTCTCAGGAGCAGCTGGTGAGCTTGAACCTTCAACCTTGCAGTTCAAATGGCTTTGCAGTCTGGTGCATTAACCCACAGCATCATACCAGGACTCCTTTGTTACTGTACATAATACTCATATATCTTCTGGGACATCAAGTGAAACACTGGAATTGTATAAAACTAAAATGTTATATTGGGATTGCTTTATTTTATTTAGTAATTTTAAAAT